GCAGTCGCTAGCTCCTAGCTCCATCTGTCAGCTGTCCTGCAGTGACTCACGGCTTGGCTTTATTCCCTGTAGCTTTTTCATGTGTGACTTAACTTAGGGCTGGAGCACAGACTCGCGGTGCTGGAGAACGAGTTGCTTTCGTGCAACTGGTCCTTTCTGGTTTGCTTCCTCCTGGTCTGCAGGCAGCATTGCTTTTCAGCTCTCTTTACCCTGAGCAGCAGGGAAAGGGTCAGTGTTTATCAAACGGAAAAGAACGGCTGCGTGTTCGTTTAAGGTGGCATCATAAAGGGAACAGTGGAAACCGCTTCGCAGGGCAAAAATCCTGTTGACTCTTTTTTTTTTTTTTTTTTCCTTTTTGCTTTTGTGTTGGTTCCCTTCCACGGGATCTAAACACTGAATAACGTGCTGGGTGGGCCGCAGCTGACCTCGCTGGGCTGCGGTGGGGATTTTCTGGAACGCTGTTTGTGTAAAATGGATCCGATCGCATCCGTTGCGAGCGTGCAAGCGTAGCTGGCAGAGGCAGCCGTCCCGGGTGCAGGGCTTTCGGGAGCAGCCTGGGAAGCACCCGAGCTCCCTCCGCCAGCAGCACTGCGACCAGCTCAGAAATCTTTTCCTTACTATATGCTGTGCCTGGAAACCAATTTGATTTCATGTCCCCTCTTACTCTGTTGTAGCAGCGCTCTGTGTGCTGCAGCCTGGACTTCCCACGGACCACGCGGCCGGGTTCAGGGCAAACGCTGCCGCCAGACGTTGTCCGTCGGGCCAAGTTTTGCTCTCTAGCATAGCACAGTTATTAGTCAGCTCCGTCTTCCTAGTCCTCAGTGTTGTGGAGGTCCTTTCCGCTCAAACTTCATTAGCTTTGCCTCAGCTTTGTTCGTGGTAACGGCAGACAGGAGCCGTTGATGGAAGGAAGCGGTCGGTGGAGCGGACGGTACGTGCCTTAAATGCACTATGCTCCTGCAACGCCCAAATGCGTCGTCTGCTGCGCGTCGCTCGCTCGGGGTTGTAATCTTCCAAGCAGCACAAGGTTTTAAGGTTCAAAAATTGTAAAAGAAGTTCTGTCGTTTGTCCTGAGACGAGCGGTGTGGGCTGCTGCGTCACTGCAACGAGCCCTGTGCCTCGGCCTTTTCTGCCCCTCCTCCCGGCCGCAAATACAAGCGAACTAGAAAAGTGGGACAGTGAGCTCGGCGGTCACCGGGGTGACTGTTCGACGGCTGTCCAGATTCATTGAGATTAGAGAGATTTATGAGTCTGTTTTTAATATCTGTTCCAGGAAATGAGTTTCAAACGGTGCCTAATATCAATTATTAATGTCCCCCCTACCCGCTCACGAGCAGGAGGCGTTACTTGCCGCTTTCCAGTTACTCTGACCAAAATGCTCGTACGGGGCAGCGTAAGGGAAGCGCCCCCGCCTC